GGAGGGAGGATTACCTCCTAAGTACGAAGCCATTTCACATCACTTTTTATATAGACATTGTGACTTTGATCCACTCTGTCTAGGGGAGGATCATAAAAATATCTGAATGCATGTAACATGATTTCTTAAGATACGAGATTTAATTGCATCCTAAAAAAGGGGGAGAAATCCCTTTTGAATTTTCAGCAAATGGTTATGTAATCGAACAGATCTTCCTTATAGCTCATCCATAATTATAAGGGGAGTTGACAATGTATACAATATGTACATAACCTTACTTTACTGTAAAGGCTCTAGTTTGGATGGGGGCGAAAAACGTTTGCTAGTTTAACTTTCCCTACTTCTTATTTCATATGCACTCTTGCTTTGTTTCGTTCTCCAGCGTTGCTACATCTGGGAGATGTATGCCCTGCTTAAAATGAATAAATAGTGTGCCATAAACTACATGACCAGGGCTGGATTAAGATATACTGAGGCCCTAAACTATGTCAAGTTTAAGAGGCCCCATAGCTTTACCTACCTGTTTTTCCATGTTTTTGTGCATATTTTATTTTGTCAAGGATCTTGTTCGCCAGCAGGTGGAGGAGCAGAAGGCAGTATCTGCAGAGCTCCTATGCAATGGAGCTCTGTAGACACTGGGGAGCCTGCAGACTTCATTGTGATGTTGAAGAGTGCCATCACTGCCATGTGAGGAGCTTACACTGACACAGGGGTGTGTGAGAGATTTCTTTGCACAATTCCACTTCCAATTCTCTCCTCCCCCCCCCCCCCCCCCCGCTGTAGTAGCCAATGTGGCTAAAGGGGATTCTGGGCTTTACCTTTTATTTTCCTTTTCCTGTATTTAAAGACTACTCATTACATGAGGCCCTACGTTGTTGCTTATGTAACAGGTACAAAAATCTGACACGGTACATGAGTGTCCTCTTATGCTCCCCCTCATGGAGATATACAAACAAATACAAAGAATGAAAGGGCCAAAGAAGATCCTAATGCAGCAAATCAATATCGCTGTAATTTATTTTAAAAGGAAATCAGGTTCTTTACTGTGTGCAGAATATTTTTTGCCACAAAGATCCTATGCCTGGGTGTTTTGACAGAGAAGATAAAACGTGTTGTTAGGAGTGATAAATCCTCCTGCAGCAAATGCACAGGTATTTTGCTCATCATATCTCTGCCTTTTATCAAGGGAACAGTAAAACTGCCCTGGAGGTTCTTCAGACATATGAAACGGAGGACTAAAAAGATGTGCTTAATGTTGTCTAAATCATAACAAACGACTGAGAGAGCTGCAAATCTCACTCACCTCAACCTGTTCCCATAAAATGCATAAAGATCAGGTTTAAAAGTTGAGTCATTTCCTTTGCATTTTCAGGGTTGTCAAACTGTTCAGAATTTAAAAGTATCAAACATTAATCCAGCCCAGTCAATTGCTCAGGTAATTGGATGCCAGTCCATAAAAAGGTCGAAGTTTGAAGGGTGGAGCATGCTTTAGGTATAAAGAACTGCATCTGAGTGGGTGGATTGGCGAGGGCCGATGGAGAGTGGGAAAGACTGTCTTAACCACAGGAAGATAGACAGTTGACTTCTAAGGGATACAAAACAAGTAGAAGGCCTCTTATTAAAAATATTGTTCTGTTTTGTTTTGCTGCTCCAGAGAATAGGATCTGAGCTATAAAATTCAAACTATGTAACAAAAAAAGAGACATTCCTGCTAAACATTAGGAAGATCCTCCTGTTGGCAAGAGCTGTTTAACAGGGGAACAGATTGTGTTGGAAGATGGCAACCTTCATTGGAAGTTTTTATGCAGAGATTTGGTGGCGGTCTGAGAGGGATACTTCAGCTATGGATTGACAGTGGGACTTTAGTGAGTCAGCTCTTAGCACAATTCCCATTAATTCAATGATTCTTCTCTAGTTGACTCAAGGTGATTTACCACTTAGCCCTTAAAATTTATTTATTTATTTAATTTCTTACTTAACTGACCATTTGTTTGTATGTTGGTAGCACCGCATGAGGACTACCTTCACTTAGGCTATGTTGTTGTAGCTACTACAATGGCCATCAGTGTACATTGCAGTGGGGTAGTAGAGCCAGGGCTTGTAGGCCTAGAGATCCAGGATTCTTTGAATAGCAGAGACATTGATGCTATGTCCCACTTGGCCTTCCTGGTTTCCTTTGAGCTAAGCTGCAATCCTCACAGTAAAGGTAAAGGTTCCCCTTGACAATTTTTGTCCAGTCGTGTTTGACTCTAGGGGGCGGCGCTCATCCCGCTCTTCAAGCCATAGAGCCAGCATTTGTCCGAAGACAATCTTTCCGTGGTCACATGGCCAGTGTGATTTAGACACGGAACGCTGTTTACCTTCCCACCGAGATGGTACCTATTTATCTACTCGCATTTGCATGCTTTCGAACCACTAGGTTGGCGGGAACTGGGACAAGCAACGGGCGCTCACTCTGTCGCGTGGATTCGATCTTACGACTGCTTGGTCTTCTGACCCTGCAGCACAGGCTTCTGCGGTTTAGCCCACAGCGCCACCACGTTGGAAAACCCCCCCCCCACAATATAGGATCTCTATTATTATGTAGGTTATTTGCATCAGCTTAGTCCCAAATGAGCTACTAAGACCCATTAACTGTATAAATAAAATGCTCGGGGTAGAGTGAAAGACTGCTACAACTGGTTGTTTGAGGTGGATCAACATAATCACACCTCGGACTCTCCTCGAGGCCAGTGACCATGCTGGCCTGGGGATTATGGAAGTCAGATCCTCCAGTGCAATAGTTCCAAGCTTTGCCAAGTTTTTACATTCTACAAACACCCAGAAGAACCAAAGACAGCTTCCAGAGGAGCAGTTGCGTGAGTTCATCCTGGCAAAAACAGCAGAGTCTGGTGGCACTGAAGGGGTGAAGCAAATTATTATGGCACAAGCTTCTGTGGACAAGAGTCCTTTGTGCCACCATTGACTGCCTCTACCTCCTCTAACCCTCATGGTAAACATGGGTCTATTCAGTCTGTTGTGCTTGTCTCCTCAGGGCTGACTCAAGTTATTCTTCCGCCTGTGGTAAAGCTCAAGTGGCTACAGCCTCTGTTGCATGTACTGGAACTGACCAAACTGGCAGGTGAAGCAACCTATCAGTTCTAAAGGAAATCAACCCTGAATGCTCACTTGAAGGACAGATCCTGAAGCTGAGGCTCCAATACTTTGGCCATCTCATGAGAAGAAAAGAGTCCTTGGAAAAAACCGTGATGTTAGGAAGGTGTGATGGCAAGAGGAGAAGGGGACGACCAAGGATGAGATGGCTGGACAGTGTCTGCGAAGCAACCAACATGAACCTGACACAACTCCGGGAGGCAGTAGAAGACAGGAGGGCCTGGCGTGCTCTGGTCCATGGGGTCACGAAGAGTCGGACACGACTAAACGACTAAACACACACACCTCCTCTAACCCACATGGTAAACATGGGTCTATTCAGTCTGTTGTGCTTGTCTCCTCAGGGCTGACTCAAGTTATTCTTCCGCCTCTGTTGCACACACTGGAACTGACCAAACTGGCAGGTGAAGCTTCCATCAACATGGTGAGGGATGATGCCATTATACTTCAGAGCAGCGGTTAGCTTAGGGCACACAGGACAGGCTTGTGTGACACAATTCTGCCTCCCTTTACCTTACCACAATTCTCTGCCATCAGCATTTTCTGTCCAAAACAGGTACTTCTTTCTGCGTAATGGTAGATCTGGCCATGAGTCCAGCACTTGTTGAAAATGGAGCTCACTGCAGACAGCAAAGCTTGACAGGGAGGAAATTATTGGCGCTGGGGAATTTATAATGCGTTAATAAAGGGGAAAGGGGATTGCCCTTTCACAGGAACTGTTACAGTTCTGGAAGGGAAAGAGGACTCGGTGAAGGCAGGAAAATTGGGTCTATCTCCAATGGTCCCAGTGAGGTGGGGAACACTTTTGATGAAATTGTTTTGAAGTTTTGTATCCTTAGTTTCCTTTGTAATGTTCTGTTGTGTCTATTATGTTGTGTTAAGGTTCTAATTTTTGTTATTAATAAATTACAAAATTTTAAAAAGAAAATGACTGGCACTACTACTGCTGATAGCAGAGGCCTTAGATGACCTGGGCCATAGCAGAATGTAATTTCGAGTATTACACAGTAGCTGAAAAAACATCACTGGCTCAAGTTCAGCAGTAAGTGGGATTTTCCTGGACACTGCAATTTATGTCTCTAGTGCCAGAGTCTTCTGGTAAACTGCCTACAAAAACATTGTGTGCAAGTTCTTGGCACTGACCAGTGTGAAATATTGCATAACAAATTTCAAATGTGATACAGGAAAGGAAAGAATAATGAAATGTACTTAACTCAAGTTAATATTGGAAATTACGTAATGCTGGGGAACCTGGTAGCCACGACCTCAAGCTTCCTTCCTTGTTTTCCCCTTATTTTTGTGTAGCTGCCTCACTTGCTCCATTCAGTATCCAAAAGTTGTGAAACATTCTGTCTACCTTGGAAAAGTTATTTGTGGATATTTTGCTGCCTAAGGCACACAACAAAAAGATTATGTGCTGCCAAAGTCAGGGTGTAGAACAGCCAACACCAATCAAGTTATTTCAACATCTCGAGCAAAAGACTCACAGGCAGCTTTCTTCCAGCCTGGCAGGGAAGAGCCGACGATAAAAAAAACCAGCTAGGAATTCAGTGCCATTTTGAAATATTTCAAATCAGCTGCCCAAGGCCACTGGACTCTTCACATATTAGTAGGGAGACTCCTGCACTACGGAGCAAATGGGGAACAAAACTGATTCACTTAACTGGGATTTATTTATTTATTTACTCCACCTTTCTCCTTAAATAGGACCCAAGTCAGTTTACATTACCAAAAGATAATATTTAAAGCTAACAACAGTGAGTATGCAAATACGAAAAAGGGTCAAACAAATACCACACTAAAAAAATGGTAAACAAAAACAACACCAAAATATTAAAAGAGGTCACCTGTGTCTGTATATTTTTGATCCAACCTCAGATGTTCTGTAGGGCAGCTGTCTTGGGTGAATAATGCTGCATCACAGAGCCTTCCTTGCCTCCAGGCTTTTCTTCTGCCCTTAAATATAGGGGGAGGATACTGTCCTATCATTAATGTCAAAATGCAGGCCAAACTGGGTGGTACCATTTGCATGTCAATAAAGCAAGAGCTTACAGGCGTATGTGTATCCTGGAATGAGTGTGGCTCACTCCACAGTTGGGAAATCAAGTTGCTTTTGTTTTGTTCCTTGTCTTTGAGAGATTAACCCAGTGTGGCATAGTGGATAGAGTGAGGGACTCAGGAGATCTGGATTTGAATCCCTGTTCAGTCAAGTCATGGAAACTCATGGGCGTGTGGCACTGGTCAAACCAGCCCGTATGCATGTGACTTACCTTGAGAACCCTATTATACGATCTGTGTCAAGTCATGGAAACTCTTGGGTGTGTGGCACTGGTCAAACCAGCCCTTACCTTGAGAACCCTATTATACGATCTGAAGAGAAACCAGAGTATTAGAGTGCTATATAAGTCAGATGTGAGTTAATGGCACAGAACACATGTACTCTGAGAGACAAAGATGGCCTTCATTTGCAAGTTCCAGGAGTGGAACTTGGGAAGATTGCGTGCCCAGAAGGAAACTGTTATAATAGCAGCAGAAAATGCGCATTTTCCTTAATATGTGATTTGACTTTAAGATCAACAGCCAGTCTGGAACAATGCTCAGAAAAGTGAATTATTTTTTTAAGGAAGTGGCCCTGTTATCTGGTGGATTCTTTGTGGGGTCGTCTCCAAAGGTCCTCCAAAGGTCACTTTTCCGAGCAATGTTCAGGACAGTTTCTCTGCATGGGAGAAGCCATTGGTTAGTTTTATTCTAATGATCTCAGAAACAAAATGGCTAGATATTGGTGTGTATTTTGGTGTTGGGTTGTTTTTAAATGAAAAGCTTAAATATAAACCAGGAATTGTAATTCTGATACCATAACTCATTGAAATGTGCCACTGATTTAGTGCATCAAACTTGATATTAATGTCTCCCCCTACTTAGTTTCTTTGGGGAGAGAGCTTGAACAAGAAAATACTAAATTTTATTTCTCTACTTCTCCTCAGGAGAGCAGGTGTTTGTGCTCACAAGCAGCAAAGCCCTTTCTTACTTAGCTTTGTTGTTTCTGGAAATGCCAGCTTTTCCATCCATAACAAGCTCATGAGCTCTCAAGGCCTCAGAGTGTGGCATAATGTAGCCTCTTGTGCTGTCAGATCAAAAACATTCCCCTGCCACAGTCTGTCAAATCACAGATGGGTAGAAACAATGAGAGCTGACTCAAGACATTGGCACTGTAGCTGGGCCTTGGATGGACAACAAACAAGGCAGCCTCTCTCTGAAACAAGAAAAGTCAGCACCTGGGCAACAGGTATTTCTAGAAGAAGCAGGGCGAGTCTAGAATGGTTGAATATTTGGGAGGAGACCATACCCAGGAGGTGGAGGTGGAGGGCGCTGGCTCCTTAGGCTCACTGAATAACCAGAAAATGACAAAACAAATAAATAAACATTAGCACTTAAAACAGCTTCAAATTATGGACTACAATAGGGGATCATGGGGTTTGTAGTCCAAGAAAGTAACATCTCCAAATTCCGCACAAGCCTCCCAAATGTGAAGGATTGCCATAGGGCACATATTGCTATAGGATGTAAAGAGGACAAAGCTTCTGTCTAATAATTACAAAGAGCAAGTAATATTGATAAGTTCTTTGTCATGCAGTGAGGAGAAACTGAAGCATTTGCCGAAAATCTACCTTCCGCACAACTACAAATAGCCTGTGCCCTTTTGTTCCAGGTCAAGTCTGAATTTTAACTTCTGGTAAAGCCCAACACATGCAGCAATTACTGAGTGCTCAAAAGACACAACATTCCTGTAAACAGAAGTCTGTGGTAAGTACTGTCCACCACTTCCACATTTAATTATGGATTTGTCTGGAAAGATGGCACATGAAAGAATGTCCAGTTCCCCCTCCTATATTACTGGAAAACCCAGCATATTATATGTACCTTTCTTTCTTGTTGAAATTACTTCCTTCCTTCAAATAAGATTCTTGTCAAGGCGATAAGCCCGATTCCTAGACAGCTAGGTGTATTGTGTGAACATGTTGCTGCTCCCAGTGGTCTCAGCTACTATATAGACCCACACCTGGGCACATAGTGTGTGGCAAGAGAAAGACAGACATAGGGCAAGACAAAATGAGTGCATGCACAGGTGGAACCCTGCACAATTAAAAGCTGTACTCTTCTGACAGGAGGTCCTTGATTCTTCTTGAACCACAGACATGGCATCAACTTGGAAAAATCACTTTTTGGGCTAACCAGTGGCCATGTTGACTAGAGGGTGGTGGTTCTGTAAATGTTGCAAGCTCAGTTCGTATGCAGCTGTCTGATGCTGCCTCTGAACCATTTAGCTTTTCTTCTGTCTCTTCAAAGTGATAACAGATTTCCAATGTCTCTCTGTAAACTGTAAACATTGCAAGCTCAGATCGTATGCAGCTGCTTGATGCTGCCTCTGAACCATTTAGTTTTTCTTCTGTCTCTTCAAAGTGATAACAGATTTCCAATGTCTCATCAAGGTGGGGGATCTTTGTTTCCCTAGCCCAGCAAATTTTTATAACAGGAGTTCTCAAGGACTCAAAAAATTGTCAAGGGGAACCTTACCTCTCAAGGACTGAACCTGCGGTCTCCTTTGTAACATCAGGGGCTCCACTACTGAGCTGTGGGATACATAGCAATCCAGAACTACAACAAGTCTGCTCCCCACACAAAAGTTTAACTTGGCAAGTATTGTCACATACCAGGATTAAAGCAAATCATTTCCTCTTTTCAGTGGGGTTTGTAATAACATAAATGCAAAACCTAACTTGGCAAGAACGCTCACTAGAATGACAAATATCTCTCTTCTGCTTTCAGTTAAGGTAAAGGTAAAGGTTCCCCTTGACAATTTGCCCAGTCCTGTCCGACTCGAGGGTGTGGTGCTCATCCCCGTTTCCAAGCTGTAGAGACAGCGTTTGTCTGAAGACTGTTTCCGTGGTCATGTGGCCAGCGTGACTACACACAGAATGCCATTACCTTCCCACCAAGGTGATACCTATTTATCTGCTTGCATTTTTATATGCTTTTGAACTGCTAGGTTGGCAGGAGCCGGGAGAAGCGACGGGAGCTCACTCTGTCGTGTGGATTCGATCTTACGACGGCTGGTCATCCAACCTTGCAGCCCAGAGGCTTCTGTGGTTTAACCCGCAGTGCCACCACATCTGCTTTCAGTTCCACAAAAGCAATTACATTTACATATGTAGCAGGAGAGAGGCTCAATTTCAGCCTTGCATATAAAAACTTGCCCTCCAGCTTTACAGAAATCACTGATTATTCAAGAGTTCTGACCGGACAAATGCATCCCACGTCTTTCAGAGAGCTGGGATCTTAAACATCCACTCAGCTCTGGCAAAGGAGTTTTGCAAGACTATTTCTGGTCTGATGCTCTTTGGATTTATTAAGCATTTTTGCAGCATGATGAGGGAACATGGAACATTCCTTCTGATCCCATGCAAATATTGTAGAATGCAACTGTAATGTTTTCTTTGTTATTGATCTATACACTATTCTCAATCTTCCCTTATCAACCCATCTAGAAGCCTGGAGCGGTCATTTCTTTTTTTAAAACAATGGCACAGGTTTTGGATAGGATGCATCTACAAGGAAAGAATTTGAACCAGCTTTAGCAATTACGGAGATGCTTGCTTGCTCAGTGATAGAACCATTTATATGTACATTTTAAAACATAAGAGTAGTTTCAGAAAAAGTTAGAAAGAGGATTTTCCTCCCACCATTCAATTTTTTTCTCCTTCCCCTTTTAATCAGCTCATGCGGCTAGTAAGGTAGTCCCATCACCCAGTCCCGACTTAATATTGTTTTAATGTACATGAACAAGTTGTAGTGCCACGTCAAATCTTTAAGAGAATGATGCTAGGATACCACTATTCCGTTTTGCTGCCCCTGGCAAAATTCCCTGTAGATACCCTTACTTTTTAACTAGCAGATATCAAGGGAAGACACTAGAGGCAGATGGATACTGGTGTCAGAAGTGCATGGGATGAAGGTGCAACAATGTCTTGTGCAAGTAAATAACTCAGAATTTGGAACAATTGCTTTCAGGACTACAAATCCCAAAATCCCCTAGCCATCAAGCTGCCTTGAAACCTGAAGGTTGCATATGGCCATTGTAATTAACAGCCATCAACAGGTTCATCCTGCCTAAATCTATTTTAAAGCAGAAGTTAGAGAATCACAGCCCTCCAGCTGCTGTTAGCTGACATCTCCCCGCATTCCACCTCTCACTACTGGCTACGCTGTTGGCTAGGGTTGGTGGAATTGCTGTCTAGCAACATCTAGAGGGCCTTGCTTTGCCAAGATGTGTTTTAAAGAAGCATTAGTTGGTTGCCATTCAGACAGACAGACAGACAGACAGACAGACAGACAGATAGAGCACATAATCTTTTTCATAAGCACTGGTGCTCTTCAGAGCTCTCTATGGCAGGCATACAATTCATATCCAATTCATTAAAATTAGTGCTAACACTAAGACTACAACAACAATAATAATAATGGTGACCCTTCCTCTCCCCCCACACAGGATTTTCCAGGTAGAGAATACTCAGAAGTAGTTGACTGTTTCCTTCTTCTGCAGGCACCCTAGGACTTTGCAGCTTTCCCAAGGCTACACAGTCTGGCAGTACTCGCAGGTGGCACAGTCAGGAATCAAACTCCCAACCCACTGGGGCCACAACCAGATACTTAAACCACCGAGCTATTATTAATTGAAATTAGGACTCATACAAATCAATGGGACAAATTCATCAGGGCTTAATTTTAAATTCTATTGATTTTCAGTGGGAATCAAGTGCAACTAACTGAATCTGAATTTAGTCCAATCAGAACAACCGTAATAGAGGATAAAAGTCAAAATACATCCTACCACGTAAAAGGATCGTTGCACCTTCTCCTTTTAAAGTTTATTGCAGGTTATTAGCTCATGTGGGTTTCCCCTTACCCAGTCAGAGTTCTGCTAAGCATTGCTTCCTACTTCAGTGACCCCCACAGCTGGCCTGCCCATCACTTGGGATGAGGTGGTTGCCTCAGGTGATGGCATAGCGGAGGCAGCAGCCAAGTTACTGCCACTGCCTAGTCATTACTATTTAAGGCAACCACCATCTAAGTTGGAGCCTTCTTCTTTCGAATTGCCGCCCCTGTAGTTCAGCCAGTTTAATAATACCTGGGCTTATTTTGTGGCCACTAGTTCCCAGAATGCCTTGGGCCTGAGAACCCCCAGAGCCGAGCATCCTTAAAATAACCAATTGAGAAGCGCCCAAGCTTCAGACATGGCAGATAGAAGGTGCTACTGCCTTGGCCACCTGTCTGTTTTTGTTCCTCTTCTTTTTATCGCTCCCTCTCCATATTCCGTCAGTGTTGCCATGAAGTGAAAGATTCTTGCATTAAACAAATGAGAAATATATCTTAAACTACATCCCATGCATCTGAAGACCTAGGCTGCAGTCTACAAAAAATTATGCTCAATAAAACGTGTGTGACTTCAGGCTTGACCCTCCATGTCTCTTCCCATCTGCCATTAGCATTTTGCAGTACTACCATACACAATTATTTACGATCCCTCTTTATATTTCTAGCAGTGGAGGGAAAAGCAGAAACAACTTCGTGCTAAGCCACTGCACATCAACCATGTACAGCAAAGGATAACTTAGAGGAGAAAATGTTTGTTTCTAAAAGTTCATATTTAAGACGTAAGTGCTAACAGAAAAATTCTAGGAATTCTCTCAATTGTTTCCATTTTCAGTTGAAACTTACCTTGCACCCACAGCCTTTGGGACGGGTGCGTTTGCTCTCTGAATTCCTGAGCCCAGTGACAGCTGGCTGTGAGCAACTGCGGAAGCTTCCTTGTGCTTGGAATGGAGTGAAGAAGTACTCAGTTACTCCTGGACATTTATCAGCTGGAGGAGAGAGGCAGGAAAGGGAGGGGGAATTTGGAAGATCTAAAATTTTGCAAGTCTCTGTGTACTGGACAGGACGGAGAGCAGTTCCCAGAAAGAGCTTTGGGGGAAATCCCTGTCTGTGCGTTTTACTGGGTGAGGTTCAGCCTTCTGCCTGCTTACTCGGCAGTTTTGGCAAGAGTAGTAAGATAATCTTGCCCCCCTCCGTTGTTGTTGTTGTTGTTGTTGTTGTTGTTGTTGTTGTTGTTCTTACATGAGTATGTGGAACTAGGGGCATGCAGTCCAGACGTACATGCTCTATTTCTGCCCTCCCTCATCTGTTGAAAAGGAACAAAGGAGGGGGAAGGACCAAATTCGGAAAAGGTACTTTCTAGACTTTACTTCCCAGAATCCCACCAGCCATGGTCACTGGGGGATTCTGGGAGTTTGAATCCAAAGCAGTCTCTTTACCAGTGTCTGGGGAACATGAGCTTTGGTGGGCTGTAGGCTAAGCTGAGGATGGACTTTCCTACCCAGAAGGAAGGGCATACTCTGTAGTGACAAAAGTGAATTTCAAAAATGATTTGCCACTGGCAAAGGTAGGTTTGGTCATCCTCTTAAATTTTTCTAGGTCACTGAAGAGTGTTTACTTAGTACAGTATTGCAATTGATTAATCACCTGTCTGTTAACTGATTAATTAATTACCATTAATTACCATTAAATGCACATTACCAAAACATCAATGTAGATGACTTTGAGATATTAAAAAGTAGTGTAAGACTGTTTTCAATTTTTAACTAGCAAAACCACAGCCGGTATTATAGGGGAAAGGATAATCTTTCATATTTTCCTTTTTATTTGCCACAGTATTAATGTACCAGCTATGAAATAATCCTCTAAACTCCTACGTGTTTTTCTTGTAGCTTTGTGAAAGCAAATTTACCTTCACTAATTAAAAAACACACCCTCTGATGAATCAATTGAAGCTTTTGTTGATCAAGTACAGATTAAAGCTTGCAGCTCTGAAATGAAAGTAATACATTTTTAAAAAATCTTTTAAAATTGCTTTGAAATGTAACATAATGTCTGATTCAAATGGATGTGTAGTTGAAAAATTTCAGACTAATTGTGCATAATTGAAATAAAATGAGCATTAAATAGAGGTAAACTTGACATAAAACTGAAAACTCCATAAAATTAGTAGCAAACCTGAGTATTTAATGCACATTTTGTACATTAAGTGCAATATTTTGTGATGTAAGTTTCTGTGCAACTAACTTGTAACTTTGTTGTTGTTAAATGGAAGGCAAATTGTATAACTAAATCCTGAGAATTGACCAAGCCACCCAACAATGCCTTAATCAACATTGTCCTGAGCTCCATATAAATAGTATACGTAGGTACAAAATGGAATATATTTCAGCCACTATAGAGTATTTATCCTTTTCTAGAGACACATTCTTAAAATCAGTCAGAATAAATTTTGCATGGTCCCTCAAGATAATGGCTAACATCCAATGCTGTTGGGTTTTAGATACTACAAAGTGCAATGATTTTAAGTTTATACTCATGTTGTAGGTTGTATTGTAGATTCACACTCATGCTCCTGTATTGTTGCACACCTGGTTCATGATATCTAGTGTGATCTTGTCCTCAGATTAATGTGGCATCAGAAGCTCGGAAAAGTTACTTATTTGGACTGTAACCCTTACAAAAATCCCTACGGTTAGGGGATTCTGGGACTTAAAGTCTAAAAAAATAACTTTTTAAAGCTTCGCATCTGATTTCCACTAATTTTTTTGAAGCTGTGAGGCTCTACACCAGCCATGAAACAGTCCTTAATCAACTGTGAAACTGGAAGGAAATTTGAAATTGTTGCTGAGTGAGATTGTAGGGGAATGTCCTGCACACTTTCCAGTAGTAGACCTTCATGGAGAGGAAGACCTTTTCCACAAGGGCATCCCCAATTCCATGAATGGAAGCATTGTTCTTGGTTGAGAAGATTGGATGCTTTCGATCTGGAACCTCTTTTTCTTTGTAACAGTAACTTTATTGATTTTTTTCCATAAATTTACCTGCAGTGATGAATAATATAATGACAGAGATTTCAGAATAAATATTCTTTTTAAAAAGTACATCTGTATCATGTCTTGGAGCTGTATAATTTTTCAATTATGAATTTGTGATGAGAATTTGTCGAGGTGTGCAATCTTTTAATAACTAATTTGTGATCTCCTTCTGATTAACCAGTCACATTACAGAGTTGTTTACTAGAGGAGCCAGCTTTAGCCTGCATTTAACCTCCTTACTGTTCCTGGCATTTGTGAGAAGCACGGAAGTCTTTGGGGGAGCTGTCACCCTTGCCTTGACTCCTTCTTGGACCCATGAGAAAAGCTGCATGAAGAGTGGAGAGCCTTCTTGTGGACAGTTTTGGGAGGGTGAGAGATTTGCTTGTTTTAGGATGGGAGAGAGGGAGAAGTATATGCATAGCAGGCTACAACTTTAGTGATTGTTTGACCCACTACAGTGTGGTCAACCAGGCTTTTCTCCTCTCCTTTTTAAGGACACCACACCCCAATCCCCCAATGTAAGGCAGACATCTGATTACATTCCAGTTTGGAAACTCAGAGGCACTTTACACATTAGGTACACTTTGCGTCTCATTTCTGAATGCCGAAGGGAACAGCTCGTGTTAGGAATATTGGGTATTTATTGGAAGCTTGCTGTTTAGTCTCTGGAAATCCAACTGTTGAGGAGGAAAATATTCTTAAACTTGTTAAAGAATCCTCTAGAATCGAGTACCACATCCTTAGTTTGCTTCTCTCTTAAATGGAAGAGCAACAAACAGGAACACTTGTTTGTTCCTTACAAAGGAGAAGGTGGAAGGAAGAGCCAGAGAGAGGTGATCTGTATGTAGATTTAGGAAAGATAAGGGGGGATTACATGCGCTAGCCTATCTGATTATCGCCCCACTCCCCCAATCAATTCAGTTTGCTTGCTACATGCTCTATTCTAGCATCTTGGACCCCTTCCCTGGAAGAAAGGGGGCCTGAATGCTTGGCATTGTGCCCACTTGGAGGTTTGTTGTTGTTGTTATGTGCCATCAGGTCAGTATTGTATCCCTATAAAATAGTGACTTTCAAAAATCCTAGAATTAATGACTCTGCTTAGATCTTACAATCTGAAGGTTGTGACTTCCCGTATTGAGTCAATCCATCTCATGTTTGGTTTTCCTGTTTTCCAGCCTTTTTTTTTAAATTAACAAAATTAAAAACTAGTGCAAGGTCTTTATGATAGAAGTCAATGCAGCCAGATGTTGGAAGTATCACGAAATAAGAGCTTGGCAGTTTGGGCTTATGGTCATTGCTGCACATACCACATTTAATATCTTGTTCCAATTGTGCCACTAAAAATCACAACAAATGTGTTGTTGTTGTTGTTGTTGTTTGCAGCATAAACTCAGATGTATCCAAGAATGGGCCCATGGAAGCTGCTATTTCTTTCCTTGCTATAACAACCACGATTCTCAGTTCAGCATTCCAGGAAGGGGCCATTTCCCCCCTAGGCTTTGTGCCACCCTTGCCTGGGCTTGTGCATTAATTATGCACAAGTCCATTCCCTGCCTTGTTCCAAATGGTGCCATGTGCCCATGCACCAAAATGGCATAAATGAGGGAGCAGAACTGGGTAAACGAGGTGTGTACACTTGGGATGATTGTGCTATTTACAGGAACACACAAACATCATCACATGAAGATGGTGAGCACTGATATGAGCTGGTGTGGAAGGAGATGGGTGTGAAGGTTTTAAAGACATCTCACCTGCCAAGATCAAAATATTTCCTCCCGTGCCGCTGCCGTTGTTGCTCTTGTGGGCATTGATGCTGCTGTGGAGGTGGCTGAGGGATCTGGGAGGCAAACGGTATGGACTGCCAGGAAAGCTGGAACACCACAGCAGTTTCCTGAGACCTAGAAACTCTTTCACCTCAAATACTCCACCTTTTCCTGTTCCTTTCTCAAAATGGTATCCATAGCAATCTCTCAGAAAATGTTTTATCTTTCATTAATCTTTTACTGCCAGGGTATAATATTTGTTTTGTTTGAAACTGAGAAGTCTAAAAACTTAGATGTTGACTAATGGACAACAAAAAACCCCACAAGAACCTTATTTATAGCAAAACTCTAGCAAATATAGCAACACTTTTTTTATAGCAATGTAATAATACATGACTTTTCTTGATCCACCTCATTATAGATTTATGTTTAAAGCAAAGCAAATTGTGCTGATATTTTTCCAGATGCTGTTTTCCTCAGAAAATGAGTAAATTCCATTTTTCATAGGTGGTTTCTGTCCTGTCCTGTGTCCCTGACAGCCAAGCCCAGAAGGTCTTGCCATGAGGTGGGACATGTGACAGACCTAATGCTTGAGTGGCTGAGCCTGCCTGATCTTCTCAGAGTTCTAGATAAACAAATCAGGAGTAACTAATTGTTACCAAATTATTTCCAAGCTCTGATTTTAATTGTGTTTATTTCAGAATTATTTTAATTAAACATGCATTTATGATGTGATATTAAATATTACATTGCAAATCCTTATGGAAAATCCATTGCCTTGAAATACCACACGTTAAAGAGAAATGAAGATAGATTTGCCGTGTGTTTTAGGGGAATCAAGAATACTGTAATCAGGAAATAGAATCATAGAATCATAGAATCATCGTAGGGTTGGAAGGGACCTTAGAAGTCTTCTAGTTCAACCCCCTGCCAAAGGCAGGAGACCTCATATCATCCCAGACCTCATACCATACAGCAACTCAAGTGTTCATCAACAAGATGAAAGTAAATAATTTCCAACAAGTAAACAGGGCATAGTGTTCGATAACTCACTGAAATGCCCAGTGCCTTTTGTTTTCTGCAGCTGACTGAAAATGAAAATGTATAGAAAGAAAATAAACTGAAGTCACTGTTGCATTGTTGAAATATCTCACTAAGGTACAGTCAGTTTGGAGGAATGGTCTGAGCAGAGCTTTCAGAATGTCCACTGCTGGAGCTGAACTCACATCTGAATTTCATACAGAATTGGCATATTCTGTGC